TCAGAAAACCTCACTGGGCCCGGAGAAATGAGGGCCTGCACCCCCAAGTCTTGCAGCTGAATGCAAGCTCAGGTTTTGGAATTCAGACATGACAAAAATCCCAGCCCCTCCATCCCAGCTGTGTCCCTCTGGGCAAATCACACAACGTTTAAAACGTCCAGATGTTTACCCAAGGACAAAGCTAGCACTTGCCTTGTAAACCATGTTGGCCACGCAGGTTCAAGGAGATGAGGGCATGTGAGATGTGTAGCAGACTACCTGGGACTGGGAATGGGGCACCAAGGGACCTTGCAAGATCACCCACCCTGCACAGCACGGGCACCCAACAGGCTACCGAGGGCGGTGCAGCTGGCACAGCGACTGGGAGAACTTCAACTCTGGGAAACACCAAGGCACCCCACAAAGCAAGTGGAAAAACAGAATTAAAAGGTAAGTTTAGGGACTGGTGTTGCGGTCTAATGAGTTCACCCATTGTATCCCATAGGTTCAAGCCCCAGCTACCCTACTCCTGATCCAGCCTCTGCTAAGGCACCTGGGAAGGCAATGGATGAGGATCTGCGAACTTGGGCCCAGGGCCAGCCACCCATGTGAACCCAATGTAGTTCCTCATTTCTGGTTTGGCCTTGCCCAGTCCTGGCTGTTACAGATTGAGTCAATTTCTCTCTCTTATTCACTCTCTGTCTTTTAAATAAACAAACATAAGCAAAGTTTATTTTGGTGCAAAATATTGTTGCCATCTGTACAACAATATATGTGTTTTTTTTTCAAATTAGGCATTTTCATGAACTCTTCAAAGACCCACTGAATATATGGATTTTTTTGACACCAAAATAAATTTGTCATTCAGTTCCATTTTCTATGAATTTTGGGGAGCCCTGTACTGGTCTGGACAGCCATACAGGAGGAAGCTGCAGGCTTCCTCCAGCACCCCTACTCCTCCAGGCCCCGAATCCCTGCAGCATCTACGTGCTCCATTTATATGCCTCAGAAAGGCTTCTCTGTTTAAGAATAACCTAGAAGGCGGTGTCTAAATTATAACCCCTTTTTAGAGAATCGCTGCATGTGTGAAAAAACTGTGATGTTTCTTCCCCAAGAAGTGGGTTCCCTTGGAAACAGGACTGCTTGCTCTCTCCTCCCTCCCAGCTGCTCTGTGAGGCTGGGAGATGCTGGGAACTGGCCTCATGCAAGATGCTCGCACGGAATGTCATTCCCGGACCAGCTGAGCACCTCCCAGTTCTCTCCAAATTCTGACTTCCCCCAAAAACCTTACACAGATTGGAAGACAATTTCTTATCGCTTTCCCTCCCAGTCATTCCCCACTGCCAGAGTGGTCCCACCAGCACGGACTCTGTGAATGTGGTGTGCGTTTCAGGGACATCCTCTGGAAGCTGGCAGGCAGCACAAACCAGGAGTTAGGACGCCGCTCAGGGGAACTGCATCCCATATTGCCTGGGTTTCAGTTTCCCTTCCAATTCCAGCTCCCTGTTTATAAGATTTACTTTTATTTCAAAGTCAGAGTTACAGTGAAAGAGAGGTAGACTGAGAGACAGAGAGTGCTCTTCTACCCACTGGTTTAATTCCCCAAATGACTCAACAACCAGGGCTAGGCTAGGCATGAATAAAAGCCCAGAATCCCTCCCAAATCCCTGATTTGAGTGCAGAGGCCCAAGCACTTGAGCCACTTTTTGCTCTTTTCCCGGACACTCTAGTAGGAAGCTGGATAGGAAGTGGAGCAGCTAGCACTGTGGCACAGAGGACGAAGCTTCCACTTGTGATGCTGGCATTCCATGTTGGAGCTCCAGTTAGGGTCCCGGCTGTTCACTTCTGATTCAGTTCCCTGCTAACATGCCTGGGAAAGCAGCAGGTGACGGCCCAAGCGCTTTACCTGCCTGTCACCCAGGGAGACCCGGATGGAGTTTCAGGTTCCTGGATTCGGCCTGGTTCAGAGCTTTCTCGCAGCCTCGTGGGAAGTGAATCAGGACATGGAAGCTACCTCTTTTCTCTGCCTCTCCCAGCCACTCTGCCTTTTATGAATGCGAATAAACAGCAATTAATGAAGCAAACACCAAGTGCCTGACACAGGGTGGGCATACAGAATGAGGCCTCAACCCAGAGCCAAGGGAAGTCTCCAGAGGAAGTGCTCTGTGAACATCTACGGCTGAGGCTCAAAGGGCCCGTCCCAGGCCACACAGGAGTCCTGCCACATCACCGCATTTTAAGCGACAGACCTGTGTCTCCTTTATTATTGTGTCTACAGTGCAGAGCCAAGTTGAACAACAAGAGCCGCTCTAGGCGGTGAGATAGGAAAGCATTTCAAGCGCACCACGGACCCTGTGGCTGGACGGTGGAGACCCAGGGGTTCCAAGTTCACTGTGTCCTCCAACACAGCTTGGCCTGTCTGCTGCCCAGTTCTGGCTGATCCCTGCCCTAGCCCCAGGATGATAGGTCAGCTGCTGAGGGTGTAGAAGGGTTCTCAGGACGAAAATCACAAGCTGCAAAGCCAGGGTGCCCCACACAGTCTATACAAAGCAGAGCTTGGGGGTCCAGTGCCTTCTAGCAACTGCTGCGATAATCTCTCACTTCTAGAAGATTCTGGGGCCTCCAGCAGAGCCTGAATGACTCCTGTGCCCTGTGGGACTCAGTCCAGGTGAGTCCTCTCACCGCCCGGGCAGCTGCCCAGGTAGAAAGGGGACAATAGCTGGGCTGTGGCAGGAACAGAGCCATAGGACAAGCACTGGACACGGAGGAGGGGGATTAATTTGCTGTGAGATCTTGGGCAAAAAGACTCCGTCTCTGAACCAAACCCCTCAGCCAGGGTGGACTTTACACAGTCCAGACTGTTCTTCCTCCTTGCACTCCCCCTCCCACCCCTCGAACTCGCCTTCATGGGCTCCCCTGCAGTAAGAAAGGCCCGGCAGGAGCTGGACCGGCTCACAATGCCTGGCCAACTCTCGTGGGTGAAGACAGCAGGCTGGGGCTTCCAGATCGTCCTGAGGTCAAAGGGCAAGTCCAGGCTGCCTGTCCCGCCAGCACTAGCCTGCACCAACCCTTAATTAGACCTGTACGGCATCACAGCAGCCTGCAGGACCTGAATGCCAGCTGAGGCTCCTGTTGTGTCTGAGACACTCGGTTAATGAAGTCACAAGCTGACCACACTCATGACAGGCAAGTGAGGGGAGAGCCCCAGCCTCCACCACCCTCTACTCCCCAGCAGTGACACAAACACCGCCCGAAGTGGAAGGTGGGGGCCAGGCAAGAAGGCAGGCACAGGCCTGTCGCTACCAACAGTTCTGGATGTGGTTAGGCCAGGGCCCCAGGTTCTTGCGCCAGCCTCTGTGGCAGTGGTCTCAGGGTGGGGCCTGGCTCCCTCTCTCAGCCCAGGATGGGGCAGAAGAGCTCTGGGTCTTCCCAGTGACTGCTCTACATGCTGTTCCTCGGGAGCTCTGTCTCCACGCCATGCCCACCTGGCACAAGCAAGTGCTGTTATCCCACTCACAGGTCAGGGCTGCTACGATTGTTGCTAAGTAACAAATGAGCATCGGCCACAGGTGCTTCTGGACAGTGGGACGACGGGCAACACAGCACGCTCCTGTGTTTTTGTACTTTCTGGGTGTTTTCTCTATGGCTGGCAGAGGTGCAGATTCACCCCACATACACATCAGAGACAGGAGACGGCGTGCGTGGAGGGCCTCGTCCGGGTCGAGAGGATGCAGCAGGAAGAAGCATCAGCAACTTGGGCTACTTCGTGTCCCTGGTGCCAAGGCAGGACACCACCCAAGGAAACGCTCAGTTCTATGCTCCAAATCGCTGAGGGGTGTGGGGAGTTTACAGGAAGTGAAGCTCCCCGGCCACATGGAACCCAAAGTCATAGGGATCTCTGACTGTGGAGGGGCGTGTCCTTCAGCTGCTGACATGACCCCCTGACCCGACAGGGACATTTGGCCTACAGAAACAAGGAAGCCTGGGGCTGGCACTTTGCCCAGAGGCCACAATGCTCGTCGAGGTATCCATATGCGCCTGTATCCAGTACCCACTCCTGCTCACACAGGCCCTAGGAGGCAACAGTGACCAGGCCACTGGCATGGGAGACCTGGACTGAGTGTCTGGTGCCAGTCCAGTCTCAGCCAGGCCCAGTCCTGGCCATGGGGTTGGGGGACAATCAGGAAGCAAACCAGCAAAGGAGATTGAGAGCTTATGATATCTCTCTCTCTCTGACTCTCAAATCAGCAAAATCAGATGGAAGGCAGTTCTCTGAGGCACTGTCATGTGGATGAGCCAGTCACTGCAGAGTTGCTAGCCATGCATCACCAGTTAGGTGAAATAGGAGCCTCGCTCCTAGCCACAAAGGCAGAGTGGCAAGCAGGGAAGAGAGAATATGGGTTTGGGAGACAGATGGGGTGGGGACACTTTCACAGTCATGTGACCACACTTAAAAGATGATCAAAGTTGTGTGCATCTCATTACAAAGTTCTTAAAGCACAGAAGAGTGGGAAGGGAGGACCCAGGGGAGGAGAGAGGGCTAGGAGAGAGGGAACAAGTGCACTGAGCTTCAGAGAGCTCCGAGCTGGCATGGGGGCCCTGGGAAATCAGGACGTGGGCTGGGGGTAAGGGGCAGGAGGGCTGATCCTTGGAAATGAACCAGGAGGGGGCCTGGCTGAGGCTCCTGGGGGAGTGAGGAAGAGGAGGCTTCAGGCTTCATCTCCACAGAGAGGAAGCTCTATAGTCCAGGTGCTGCCAGGGGCAGGCAGGGGGCAAGCTGGCTGACGTCCAGGATGACACCCTGCACAGGTTCAGTAAGTCCCCAAATCGAGGAGGGCTCTGCTCGGCGTGTGGGGCAGGATCACAGTCAGAGCAAAGACAACTGAGTGAGCACTCACTGTGTGTACCAAGCACCCTGCTGTTGCTGCTCACTCCTTCCCCACCCACTGAGCCCCTCCAGCCTCCTCTCACAGCCTTCCTCTGCCCAACCCCGCTCTGCCCACCACCACACCCCTTCTCACTTGAACTGGTGCTCCCGGGAGCTGCGGATCTTGGAGGAGAAGCGTTCAGCCAGCTTCTCCAGGCTGCGGGAGTACTCCAACTCGATCTCGGCCTTCCTGCGGAAGAACTCTTGGAGATCCTGTAGCAGCTGCAGCCGCGACTCCGACTGCTGCTCCAGGCATTTGAACTGCTCCACCAGCTGCGTGCGGATCTCTGCGGGCAGAAGCAAGGAGCATGTTAGGCTGTGGCGGCAGGGCCACTAGCCAGGGCCCTACAATGCAAGTGCCCACACAACACCCTGCCCTGCTGCCATCACCACCCAGCCTTGCCTAGCAAAGCTTCAGCACAAGGACTCTGCGCCTGCCTGCCTCTCAGGCCCTAGCCTCGGCCTTCAGGATCAAAATCTGCTTTTCTGACAAGATGCCCAGTTGGACTTTTAGCCACACTAGCCAACTCGTCACACAAGAAGTATGTTACTCTTTGTTTTGTTTTGTTTTGTTTTGTTTTGTTTTGTTTTGTTTTGTTGTGTTTTGTTTTTAGGTTCACTGAGCTGGTGCTGTGGCATAGCAGGTAAATCCAGCATTCCCTGTGGACGCCAGTTCAAGCATGGCCTGTGTGCAGAACGTTCGCCTTGCTTTCCATGTTAAAACAAAGACAACTTTTATCTGACGGCATCCAATTCCAATCCTGCCCATACAAGGCACTGATCTGCAGCCAGTGCCACTAGGATCCAGGCCTGCAACAGATCGTGGTCCAGGATCTGGCCCTGCAGGGGTACTCACGGCCGTGACCCTGAACTGGCTGACTCCATTCCACACTGCTGCTAGGAGCCCACACAGACATGCTGCTCCTCATGGACAATCACACACACAGAGTAACAAAGAGAGAGAGTGAAAGAGAGAGAGAGGGAGAAAGAGAGTGGGGGAAGAGAGAGCAGGAAGCCCAAAGGAGTGCAGTTGTTCCCAATGCAAAGGCTCTGTTCAGCCACAGCCCCTTCCATGGTGGCTCCAGCCACAGCATGGTGGCAGTGAAAGGCAAGCAGAAATGGGGTTGGGAGGTTGGCATTTGTGTTGATCTCAGACCCAAATGACTGGAGATCACTTCAATGATGACCCAGTGCAGCCTTCGGGCAGACAGACAGGACACAAGGCCCAGAGATGGGGCAGTGCAAACACAACAACCCAGGCCTCTCAGAGCACAAGTCACTATCCTGATAGGACTCTCCCTAACTCCTCACTGCTTCCAGGACCAAGGCGCCCTGGACATCCAGAGCCCCATCCTCCATGCTGCTCTGCTTACTCTCGGAGCGTCTGTTTAAGACCCTGCACCTGTACCATGCATCCCCAGCCCCCACAGCAAAATGCAGGCCCAGCCAGGGCCTCATAGCCATAGCCCCTCGACCACAGAGTACAAAGTCCTCTGCCTTGCCCCACTGTGGCACACTGGTCACTGCCAAACAGCCAACATGGACACAAGGCTGCCTAGGAGCCACTCTTCCTCCGGGCTTGTCATCTTGTCATGGCACAGCCCTGACATCTACACCCCCTGCAGCATCACATGTACAGGCCCCATTGCACGGAACATCCCCTCCAATCCACCCCTCCATTTTTGTCTCCCACACTGCCCCAGTCCCTGGCGGACACTCACCCATCTTCTACCATCGGCCTGGTTCTGGCTTTTCTAGAAGGTCATGCAGTTGGACTCAGTCCATGTGAAGTCCTTCAGACTGGCCTCTGTCACTAAGCAACATGTACCACCTGGTGGAGTCTTCCTTCTTACCATCAAACAAGGTCCTTCTGCAGGCCTTAGTACCTCTAATCTTTGTGTCCACAAGCTAAGGACACACTGGGTGCTCCTAGTCATTGGAAATTACACACCAACCTGTCATAGACGTCTGTGGGCAGGTTTGTGCATGGACATACGTTTTCAACTCACTGGAAACGGGAAATACCCTTTTCACAAAAATGTTTTCATTTTTTAGAGGAGTTTAGGCTTACACTTCTAAACAGGATATATAGGAATTTTAAAATTAGATATAAACATCTGAATATCACAAAGGTGCCAGAAAAGGATTTCTCCCATCCCCTGTCCATCGCCGCTTTGTGTCCCTTGCCAAGGCAGCCAAGGTACCAGGCTCATGAGCATCCTTCCAGAAGCAACATCGAAGGATCTGCATGTGTGAGAGGAGACAGTCCGAGGGCAGGAGGTGTCTGCAGGATCATGAGACAGCCAGAGGGAATTGGAATCCATCAGGGTTCCCAGGAGATGACCGTGAGCAAGTTCCAGGACCACGGGAGAAAACAAACATGCTACAATTTGCTTCTTAATGATCCTGGGTCAACGGATGGAGAGCAGACAGCTTTAAGCAAAAGAAGGACCAGCCTTGAGTTACTACAGAAGGTCAGCTGCAGGGATGGCAGGGGAAGGGGCTTGTCATCCCAATCTCTCCACTTTTGCAATATTCTAGATTTTCAAGAAAAATAAAAAAAGCAAAGTCAGAAAGTTGATGCCAAGCCTGCAGCCCAGCTAGACAAGTCTGACCAGTCAGGAATGCCAATACCAGAGGCCTCTGTCCCCAGCCAGCAGGTGGTTTTCTTGGGATAGAAGAAGGGTCAAAATGTAACTTTAAAAGTGATGGTCAAGGCTGCTTCCCAGCTCCCACCCAGGGACTGGTATGGCCCTACAGAAGGAGGCGTGCCAGGCCCCACTGGAGAGGCTCTGGGAGACTCCACTCACTTTGCACTTGTTCTTGCCAGGAGCATACAGATAACCTGCAGAGGGTGAGAGGTGCAGGCCACACTGCCCTATCACCTCAGCCAGAAATAGTCAACTTCCCTGTGGGTATGAGCCAATATCAACAGAGCTGCCTCCCCCACCTGCACACGCCTCCAGACACATGAGCAATGCTCACTGCTCTGCTCACTGCTGCATGCAAGGGGCTCTGTGGGCAGCCCGTACAACTCCATGGTGGTGGCTGTCAGATCCAGGCCACCAAGCACCTGCCTCATGCTGTCTGCCCCTGTCCTGGTCCCTCACTCAGCTTGGGTGTGCCTAGTGTCCACCTGCACAAGCCTGGGGAGAAGGTGAAGAGCAAGGTAGACCCTTCCCCAAAAGGAGATCGACCAGGAGGCACAGACACAAGCAACTGGCATTCAGTAGGAGGCACTGGGGGCAGGGGAGTAACAGGGGGACACCAAGAGAGACCCTGAGAACAGAGACATCCAAGCTGTCCAGGGAAGGACCTGTGGAGCCAAGTAAGGGGCCTAGGAGAACATTCCAGAAGACAAAGCCTGGCCAAGGCCTCATGAGCTCAGGAATGGTCAGGCTGGAGCCCAAGAAATGAGAAGGAAGGAGAGGAAAGAGATGTCCCAGAGGGACCCAAACCTCTCTGGGACTTTCCCCATTTCTTCCTTCCAGGCCAAACCAAGACATAAAGGAAAAACAGGAGTGTTCTGCATGTACAGTGAGAAAAATGGGGGCAGAAGCCACCAGCCATTTTCAGAGTGCAGCTGGGGAGGGTGGCAGCAGATGCCCCTGCACTCGAGTCAGGGGTCCAAGTGTGAAGGTCCCTTGCCACTGAGCCAAGTCCCTCCCATGGGGCCTGGCACAGGATGCCCAAGACGCCCAGGACACCTGCCAGAATCTTCAGCCCAATTCCAGGGCAGCCAGCCAGGGGAAAAGTGCTTCACCTCCAGGCAGAGTGGAGGGAGACAGGACACCACAGGAGAAGCAGCCAGCCATCCGTTCACTCATGTACCCAAACAACAGGGACTCCCTAACTGCCTACCTTGTCCAAGTCTCTTCTAGTCCCATTTCACAGATTCAAAAGCAAAAACCGAGACATTCCCTTTGCAGAATTGCTCCATCACACGGGAGTAAGGTCAAAATGGACACAATATTCCCAACACAACATTTGCATCATTAACCACATTCTAGCCTGCTCCTTCAGTGAAGACACATCAGAGAGAGAATTGTTGGTCTGAGCTGGGCAGGACTTATCCATTGTCTCAGGGGGTCATTTATCCTACTAGGAGACACTCATTTCTGGTGTTGAGGGTCTCATAGCAAAGTAACAGTTGTGACAGCACTAATTTGAACCTAACCCAAGTGAAGAGAGAGAGAGCACAACCCAAGAAATTGGAATGGAAATGATACCAAGAGCCAGTCAGGACAGGATCCCTCAGGCATCACACAGGCGCGCACTCACGCACAGACACACACACACATACATGCTACCCCAGGTTCCCAGAGACACCTGCGCACACTCGCCCCTGCCGGCCCATCTCACAGGGGTGTGTCGAGCCTGCCAGGCAGCCCCGCCTCCAGAGGAGCTCACAGCAAGAGTGGGCCATGCCACCGGCTCCTGACTCAGGCTGTGGCTTCCCTCAGCCACCACCCCCCACAGCCCTTCCATACATTCACATCAAAGGAACCAGGTCAGTCATGACCCATGCCAAGCTGCTATTTACTAACCCCCAGGTCCAGGACCTACGCCACTGTGCAACTCACAGAAAACACAGCCCTGCAGCCTGCTGGGCTGCCTCCGATGAAAGGCTTGGCCTCCACAGTGCAAAACCCCTTCCAGAGCCCAGTCCCTCTGACACACCCACCCAGGCAACCCCAGGGGCTCCCCTGGCCCATGTGGCCTCAACACCCCAAAGGGCTCCCTGCTTCAAGACCACAGACCCCAGGCAATGGGGTCAGACAGGAAACGGGACTCAGGAGCCCAGCCACCAGCTCCCAGGGGTAAGGTGCAAGGTGTCCCAGTCCTCTCCATCCCGCCTGGTCCCCCAGGCCCCACCCACCCCCATCGAGTATGCCCCATAGTCATTCCCCCTGCAGGTACCCCGTACTGACTTCACGTCTGTCCCCCAGTCACATCCCAGCAGGACAACTTGGGGACATGTTTCCTGAGTATGTGATAGAAACCAGAGTGCCAAGGGACATAAAGTGTCACAGTGGCAGGCTCGGTGGCTCAGAGCCAGGTCCATGTGCTTTGGCTATTCCAACGTTCCAAGTATGAGGCTGGTATGGTTTGCAAGATACCCCCACCCCGCCCACAAATTCCCCATGTAAGGGCCCACAGGAATGGGATTCTGGCAGGGAGCACTGGAGTGGACTCAAGTCTTTCCTACAGAAACAGACACCCCACTCTCACAAGTGTGGAGCAGCTACCACAGACACGGGTGGCTACAAAGCAGCACCCCATGCTG